TTACGGGAAACACGTCGGCTAAAATTTAAAAAATAGTTTAAGTTGGGCTTAAAAAAAAAGCCTTTTAGACTATTTTGGGCCGTGATCTCATTGGTCAAGCCAAGGTTGGCCCATTGAAAGAGATCGTTGGGCCCACTTAAAGTGGAATGAATTAGTGTATCCCAACTAACACTAATAACCATTTTAACCGATTGCTGTCTTAATTCTAGCAACCTAACCCGACCCAACCCACAACATACAAAAACATTGAAATTAAAAATGAATTGGGTCATAATGTTTCGAAAAACGACACGTCGCGAAAGATGCGCATGTGACTAAACATTTGAAAAGTGCACGAAAGGATCAAAACTCTTGAACGCAAAGCAAAGAAAATAGAAGAAATATATATATATATATATATATAAAGGCCCAAAGAAGTAATGATTGAAATTGATAGGGAGAGGAAGGGGTAAGGGAGAGGTTGTATTACCAAATTTGAGGGACCTTTTGAAGAGAGATTTTTTAGGCTTTTCAAATAAAAAATGCCCAAATAGGTACAATTTTGGGTCAATCTTCTCCTCTTTTCCTCTTTTTCTTGCACACAATTTGAGGACCCCAACATTGCAAGCTAACTTTTCTTTTTAGTTTACGAACCGATACCCTTAACTTAGGTGACTGAAGTATCGAACAAAAAATATAATTTGTTCGAGGGTTCTAGAGATTATTAGAGAGCTCTAGAGAAGGAGACTCTATGGACTAATTAAGTAAAAAGAGTCGTAAGATGTTGATTGTACGGAAGTTAGGAGCTCTTTCTCGTAGTTGTCGGAATCAAATGAAGGTCCCAACATAACCAATTATAGAAGCTCAACTGAAAAAAGGTCGTTCAAAACGGGAGCACTGAGACGAGATTATCGAAGATTATTACTAATAATCCAATATTTTGTCAAATCTTTCATTAGATGCTTTGTCCCACCTCCCTTTACTTTTATTCCACATTTTCTAACACAAATTTTGAGAAACCCTAAATTACAAGCTAACTTTTTTCTTTTTTTTAAAAGAGTTTTGTTTTTAATCCATTTTTTTTTTTTTAAATGGATATTTTCCGACCAACTTTTGTTAAGAGTCATTGATACCTGTCTTGAAAAGTTGAGATTTAAAGTCGGTAATATAATATATATATATATATATATATATATATTTATTTATTTTTCTTGTGCGAAAAGTTTGACTAAATGCTTTAATATATTCAACGATCTTGACCTTTTTGTTTATTTTTTCCTCAAACAATTTATTATGGGTAGATAGTTTATAGTTAATTTAGTTAAAAGTGTCCCCTCTAAGTTGGGTTTACCTAACCATTCAGAAATTGATTATAATCATAACCAACATTATTGGTAATGAATATGGTATTTCGTAATTGAAAACTTTAGTGTTTTGTTACTAGAACGCTCTCTTAAATTTTTGATCAATTTAATTACTAGATATGCTACAAGATTCATATATATTGATGATTTACATAAAGAATGCAACTAAAAAGTTCGAGACCCATTATTGAAATACTCAGAAACCCTAACTCGAGCAAATTGTTATGCCTTGAAATGGTGATTGATGTCGTGTCTACTGAGTTATGCTCGAATTGGTATTGAACTTTCATATTTTAAATCTATTGAATCTCACGTTGTTAAGTTTTATTGAATTAAGTGAATTGTCGTTTTTCTTATTTTACGCATGAATTTTAAATTCTATGTCGATATTTTCTTTGTACAAAGACGAAAGATTAAAATGATTAAAAATATATCTAAAAGTTTGAAAAATTATAATAAAATAGACATGATGAAAGTTTAGATATCAAAATTAAAAAAAAATCTCGACTTTTTACTTGATTTTCTTCGCAACTTTTAATATATTTTACGCGATCTCGTTCCCACCTATAAAAAATCAACTCCTCCATGACCACCAAACCTTTGAACTATAGTCGAGTGTCTCAACTTTTATAAGAAATAATTCATTCCCTCTTTCAACTGATGTGGGATCTCACAATCCGCTCTCTTTTGTGGCCCAACATCCTCACTGGCACACCTTTTGGTGTCTGGCTTAATACCATTTCTAACTGCTAGCAAATATTGTTTGATTTGGCCTATTATGTATCGCTGCCAGCCTCACGGTTTTAAAACCCGTCTACTAGAGAGAAACTTCCACATCCTTATAAGGAATATTTCGTTCCCTCTATAACCGGTGTGAAATCTCACACAAGACATGCTAAATGAACCCGTATTGGTTTGTGGGGGATACTTTTTATTCTTAGAAATACGTCAAGGCTCTCATCAAATACATGAAACTTAAGTGAAGCAAGAATTGTGTCTATTCTCTAAAGAGGTTTGTGAGGACACTCTTTACTCTGAACATGGTCATGTCGTTAGAGAAATTGAACGTCAAATGGAAGAATGAAAGTATGAAAGTGGGGATGTCGGCCAACCTCTATGTCTCTCTCTCTCTAGTCAAACTTTCAAAAGTCATTACATAAATCTCCATTTTGGATTCATTTTGTTGTATTCACATGATCCCTCTCACGAATTTGACGTAGTACACTGTCTTTCAAGGGAAGCACGTTTAATTATAAAGTTTTTATGATTAAATTATCGAGAGGGAAGATGCACTTTATTGATATAGGTCGAGATTCTTAATTTTTTCAAGCCTTCTTTAGTAATCTTATCCTCGTGATAGCTCTCGTTTGGATGTGATATTGATTCATTCATGTATCATTTCTTTACTCATATGTCACATGCTCACTAGTTTCTTTGGTTCGTCCCCCGAACCACATCTTATTTGAAGTTTGAAAAAGAAGAAAGGGCCGAACTGAGCTTCGTTATTCTAATGGCTGACCTTCCTGAGAGAGAGAAGGTCTGAGAATATGCAGACGATGCATCATGGTTTGGTGGCACCATGGGTGCAGAAATTAGTTATCGTTTTTAAAAGTCGACATGTCGGTGGGTTTGTCGTTCAAATCTAAAGAGGGAACAAAATAAAAGGGTCAAAGATTATTGTGAGTGGTGAGCACATTTCTTATTTTGTTTTGGAATGTGAGGACCCTACCAGGTTATATGAGCATGTCGTCGGTTTTGGCCCATTACTTATCACTATTAGAAAGAGGTTTTCACACCTTTATAAGTAATGCTTCTCATTTCTCTCTCCAATCGTTGTGGGATCTCACAGTTCACTCCCATTGAAGGCTAAGCGTCCTTGTTGGTATACGCCCGGTGTCTAGTTTTGATACCATTTGTAACAGTCTAAACCCACCGCTAGCAGATATTGTCCACTTTAGCCCGTTATGTATCGTCATCAGCCTCATGACTTTAAAATGTGTTTACTAAAGAGATTTCCACACCCTTATAACGAATACTTCATTTCTCTTTCCAACAGATACGAGATCTCACAATTCACCTCGTTTGGGGCCAACGTTCCTCTCTCCATTCGACATGGGATCTCACACAAATTTTGCTCATAACCTTACAAATTTGTGTTTGTATGATCTTAAACTTACAAAACTTTAATAATCTTTTAAACTCTCATTAAAAAATTAGAAAATATAAGATTTATTAGATAATTTTAAAAATTAAAAATTTATCAAACACAAAATTTAAAAATAGATAAAATTAAAACATGAAAAATAGAGAAAATTTAACTATTAATTAAAAGAATAAAAATAAACATTAATCCCTGTTTTTTTAAGGATGAATAGGGAGGGGTAGTGATGTGATGTCTATGTGTTGTCTGATGACAGTTGAGCGGTGAAACAGTTAGAATAAAGTTTTATAATAATGTTTGTGACAAATAATTATTTTTATTTAAAAAAAAACGGTTTGTGACAAATAATTTTAATTTAGTACAAGAATCTTTTTATGAATCAAATAATTTGACTTTTTGAATGGAACAATGGGACCCCATGAAGTTTTTGACTCATCATCCTTTCTCTTCACCTTTTTCCAACACAAAATATCATTTTTTTAATTTACATAAACCCTTACTACGTAATTTGTGGGACGGGATCTTGATTACTTCACCAATAAATAAATATACGTGTATATATATATATACACACACATGTATGATACACGTCAATCTGTCACGACTCAAATTTTGATTAACAAAACTATTAATATTCATTTTTCTCTCCTTCTTGCCTTGCCTCTTTTGCTTCAAAGTACTCGTGTTTGGTGAACGACCCAGATCCACCGCTAGCAGATATTGTCCTCTTTGGACTTTCCCTTTTGGGCTTCCCCTCAAGGCTTTAAAATGCGTCTGCTCGGGGAAGGTTTCCATACCTTTATAAATGGTGATTTGTTCTCTTCCCCAACCAATGTGGGACATCACATAGAAATTCTATGTTGGGTGACTTCTTGTGTCGCCTTCTTTTGCTTGGAGCAATTCTATGTTAGATAACCTCCTGGAAATTGTTCTACAATGCATGTAAGTGAAGACAAAAAAATGTTAGAAGGACTCGTGTTAATTTATGAGAATAATCTTCCCTCTTAGAAGCAGAGAGTAAGTAACGTGACCATGTCATTAGAAATGTAAGGGAACATCCAGACTATCGGGTGCCGAATTCAGATACCAAACTTTAATCCAAATCCTAGCCATAAGTTATTGATAGACGATTTTCATCTGTATAATAACGAGTAGTTTTGAGATAAAGTACGAAGTTTAGGTTATATTTTTTTAATTAATTTAACGTAAAATCAAATCGACCCGAATTAATAATATTATTATTTTGATAAAGTGTGTGAGGTATGATGATGATTGATTGGAATGAAAATTTCCAATAAGTAATTGTGTAGAAATATATTGTGGGTGGGGGTACAATAAGCATCTCAAAAAGTTTCCATTATACCAGAGTTTATTGTTATCCCCTAAAACCATCAACCCGAAACCACTTTTATTATTTCCTATAACGGTCCAGAAACAGTACAAAATATGTTAAAATGATTCGTCAATCTTAAAAATAATTCAAGAGAAACATGTAATCTGATTATACCGTAAAACTGCAATAGAATGTTGGAATCATACCCGAATTTTGGTCCTAGGTTGTTGTAATGTAATGTTTTAATGTTGTAATGTTTTAGTTACCATCATAGTTACAACCAATGAATAGACCAAAAAAAGTATACCACAAATCAAAACTTTGTAGTTAATCTTAATTCATTATCATCACAAGTAGCTCCATAAGCTTTCCGTTCCATCTGAATTCTCGATCGAGTCATCGGACGGTGGCGGCGAGTTTATTCTCGGCGGTGACACCATCATCCCCTCAGCCATATCAGCCAGCAAACTCGGCATACCAAAAATCTCTTCTTCATCCACAAACTCCTCCGTTTTCAACAACGTTGTATTGCTACAATCTTCAACCGTAATAATCTTCGTATCATCAATATTACTACAAGCGCCTTCAACTTTCTTCAACGTATTAGCAGCGGAAGCAGCAGCAGCAGTAGAAGCAGCAGCGCGTATATCGATAGGAGAAGTCGAGGCAGGAATAGGGTAGGAGGGAATGGAGGCAGGGAAGTTAAGGACAGCGTCGTCACCTCGAAGAGCAAGTGCAGCGACGTCGTAAGCAGCAGCAGCCATCTCAGGCGTCGGAAATGTACCGAGCCATATCCGCTTCGTCTTACGTGGCTCTCGAATCTCCGACACCCATTTGCCGCTCCGGCACCGGATTCCTCTATACAAAGAATGCTTCTTAGTTGAAGAAGAAGAAGTAATTGAAGAAGCCATGGAAGATGGTGGTGGCGGCGGCGGCGGCGGCGGCAGTTCTTGAACCAAAGCTCGTGGTTCAGCCACTTGGGTGTTTGGATTTGGATTTGGATTAGGATTTTGGGATGTGGGGACAGAAGGAACAAGAGGGTCAATGGGTGTTTGGCTCAGCTCGTTCATTGGGAGCTTTTGGTCACCCATATATACTCAAAAAGAGAGGGATTTGGAAGAGGGTTTGGTGGAGAATGGTATTAGGAGGAGAGATTTAGACACCAAATATTTAAGAACAAAGAAAGAAGCGTGGGGAATTCGTGGGCAGCGATTTAGGGTTTAAGAGACAGTGAAGAACAAGCACACGCTTTAGCAAGGGGTTTGGATAGCTAGCAATTAGCTGTGTTTATACGGCTGCCTTCCATATGGACTCAATAAGGGCCACCTCTATCCCTTTCGCACTAAAAAAGCAAGCTTTATTCCACACTAGGGCTTTTGTATGTGTAATTGTCTCTATCAAAATTCTTTGTCAATCTACTCAATTTTGCAAAAAGTTTTCATTTTTAGAATTGGGTTTCGATCATTTATGTCTAATTTCGAAGAAATTATTCGATGAGACTGGTAAATTTTTCAGCGTTGGATGTATGAGAGAAAAGTATCTCGAATTTTACAACAATAATAAACCATTGATGATCTGATGATTAGAGTTAGTGAGCCATGTATTAGGCTACCATTTCGCACGGTTACAGGGTGTAACGGCCTTGATCCACCGCTCGCCGATATTGTCCTCTTTGAGCTTTTCCTTAGATTTGTGATTTCTTACAACGTGTATGTGTATGTGAAATCTCACATTAGTTAGAGAGCGGAACGAAACCTTTCTTGGCGTGGGAAATCTCTTTTTAGCAGAGGTGTTTTAAAGTCTGGAAGGGAAGCTCGAAAGGAAAAGCCCAAAGAGGACAATATTTGCTAGCGGTGGATCTGGATCGTTACAGATGGTATAAGAGCCAGACACAGGACGATGTGTCAGCCTTTTCGCTATTCTCCGAAGGGGATAGACACGAGACGGTGTGCCAGTAAGGACAATGGGCCCCAAAGGGGAATGGATTTGGGGGTGGTCCCACATCGATTCGAGGAAGGAAAGGGTGCCAACGAGGACGCTGGGCCCTGAAGGGGGTGGATTGTGATGTACGGTGTGGGTGCTCGACTGCTCCCTATTCAATTTTTGGGCCAATTTTTCTTTGGTACTACCAAAAAATGAGATTTGTGTGGAATTCGAGTTTGCTGTTCCTACCATTACCAAACCAATATCTATTTTGTTTAGTAGTTCAGTTCCATTAATAACCCATATCGCCGGCTGGCCGGGAATTTGCCGGCGGGAGCTGCCGGCGGCTACCAAATGAGAAGCCTCCATGTGGGTTAATTATTAATAAACCTAATTGTTTTTACTGAAAAAGCATAAGGAATAGGGCCTTAAATGCTACACAAAACCACATGCTTCTGTTCCCTTCTTGAATCTTCCTTTTCTTTCCTCTTCTTTTTAGAAACTCTTTCCTAATTAAGAAAAATTAGTGGAAGCACTTTTTAAAAACCACATGATTTTTTTATAAATTCAAAGATAAACTTCTAATCTTTATTGGTTATTAATTATTTTAATAAATAAATAATATTTTTTTTAATGTAAGTACTGTGATAATTCAATGGATAAAATACCCTTTAACATTTAAAAATAAAAAGAGAATAGAATTTTTGAAGAAGGTCCGGTTAAATAAAGGTTTGGAATAGAAACTACTCAACCAAAAGAATAGACAGAGGATTTAATTGTCTCAATTGTATTGGTTGGTTTTGATTTAATTATCTTCTTCAAATTCTATAAAGGTTCAAGAGCTTACCGACGTTGAAGGGATATATTTGATTCGAGACGCTCTACCTCGTAAAAGAACAGTTCAACCCTAATTCAAGAAGAATCGTTTGAAAGATAGATGAGAAAGAAGCAAACGAAAAAGCTGCTACTGAAACTTACTTATTAACCTGACCTTACTTCCTACGAGAATGATGATTTTATTATGAGACAAATTCTACTTTTATGACGAGAATTTGAAAGGAAGAAAAAGAGAAAAAACCGTTATCGAAGAAGCATGATGAATAGAATAAATTTCGAAAAGAACAGAGATCGGGGTTAATGAGATAATCCCAGTATTAATTCAAAAAAGGTGAAAGAAAAAGTAATTAAAAATTATATATTAATAAAAAGTTTATTTCTTTATAAAAAAGTAATTAAAAATAATAAAGTTGGTGAGGTCAAGGTTAGTGATTGGGTTGGTTATGGTGGCTATCTTTTTTGCCATTATTTAGCCACCAAGGTAGATTATTTCAAATTGCTTTCCATTTAATTTTTCAAAAAATAAAATAAAATAAAATAAATAATAATTTCTATGCATTGAACCCATCCCTCAATGTTTTTATTTTTATTTTTTATTTCCTTAAACAATGCCTTTTAGTTTAGATACCTTTGGTGGGGTTGGTGTTTTACTGTGGAATTCTTTTTCATCTAAAACATTTAAATGGATTACTTCCAGAGTTATCAAAAAAAAAAAAAAAAATTGAAATTCGTTCACACAAAACTGTTCAAAAGAGTCGATGGTTCAAAGAATTTGATCAACTTAGCATAACGTTAGTCGATGATTCAGAAGTAGAACGTTAGTTCTTAAAACATCTATTTATTTAATTTCAGACATTTAATTGACCTTCTAAATAATTAAAGATTATTTTAAAGCATAAATAATTATAAAATAAAATAAATGTTAGTATATATTTTAAAATTAACAATAAATTCAGATTAATTCATAAAAAAATATTAAATAAAAATAAAAGAAAATAGTTAAAATGGTTTGGGCCATGGATTGGGCCAAGATTTGGATAAAGTTGAAATGGGCCGTGTTTTTCAACCATATATTTCAAACAAGTATAAAACCAAACATTCCTAGAATGTTGAAACATGTTTTGTCGGAGACAAAAATTCCAGGGTGACAATAAAATGGGTTATGGAACGACAGCTATTGAACTTTCAAAGCCCGCAGAAAATGCGTGATGAAACTTAAGGGTTCATTATTAGACATTGGTGACTCTCGAGCTCCCAAATGTTCGAGGGTCAACCTCGTAAATGTTCCAACATATATGAACCATGTAAATCGTGACACTTTACTATTAGGGATTAGTTGTCGATTCTCTATACTAATCATAATTTGGAGGGAGCGACTTTTGTGCCTCCTAACTCCTAAAACACCGTACAGAACTTTATCGATTCAAACAGTTTACTACTTTAGAGACCCTGTAACCATTCCCTCGTAATAACTTGATGACACTACATATCATATGCATCTAAGGCATGATCTTGTATGTACCAACTCGTTTGATACGTACGTGATCATGTCAATAATTGACTTTATATTTTGTATACTTCCACAAGTCATTCTAAGCTACATAGCTATCCCTATTAGTTCTTCCTTTGAAAAGTGCATAATTTCAGCAACCTTATCTTTGTATTTCACTTTCTATAACCTAACCATTAATTTCACAACGAAATCATCCAATAATTTGTTTGGACGAAACATTTGCTTTTTTGGTCGAAGGTTTTATTGTCATCAACGTAAACAAAACTCAACAGTAACCTATGTAAATTCCTTTCTTTGAACTTGAAAGTTCAAATCTTTAAATACAACAATTTTATTGCAACCGTAGTTGACATATGTTTATTTTTTGTACTCGATAGTTAAAATCTTCAAATACACAAATTTTATTATTGTTAACATAAACATAATACATTGGTCGAAAGTTCATAGATTCAAATCTCTATTTATTATTAAACCGTGTTCAATAGAGAAAATAATCATCACGATTTCTCAAAAGTCAACAACTTGATTCAAACTTGTCGTCAAAGTGTCATACATTTCGTATAAAGACAGAACCGTGAAACTCAAAATATGGATTTACATAGCGAAAATGGAAATGATTCACCGAACAATTATTTGTATATAATATGAACGTGTAGATACATGAATGACCTACTTGCCTTTTACCTTTTACCTTTTCAAATTTTGGTTAATTTTGATTTTTCAATACTTACCAATTTTGCCCCAAGAATGCATGCATGTTCTTTTTCAAAAAAATTTTATTTTTTTTTTATTTTCACTCGTTATAATAATTACCATTCAAAAAATCAATAGTTATGGCGTAGAACGAACATCACAATTAAAAGACCTTCAACTTTGAACTATTTTGTATAATTTATCCTCAAATATCAAAACAGTAAATAGTTCACAAATTAGTCAATGAAACGTTCAAAATATCAAATGACGAAAATACTCAGAGTTTACTACAAAACCAAAGGTAAAAAATTTAGGGGTATACATGGGTTAGATTGGAAAAATCTTTTTGGCTAACCTGAAATTTCGGGTTTGTTGAGTTGGTGACCTAAGCAACCCGAGTAGGGTTCACAACCTAACCCAACTCAACCCTTTATTTTCCGGTTGGGTTGGGTTGAATTATTAGATTATTTTTTTAATTATTTAAAAAAATCATATTTATTCACAATACATGTTATATTAATAACTAAAATCTCATAGAACTCAAATATCAAACATTCATAAGTCACAGATATCATCAGTAATATCGATTACAAATGTCAAATATTCTTAATCTTCAAATTCTTAATCTTCAAAGTAGAGTATGACAAGATTAGATTGTAACTCTATTTTCAAAAACGTCAACATGCAAATTGAAAAAATCTAACACAACTCAATATTTATGATTTAGGTTAGATAGTTCGAGTTGATCGAGTTCTCGGGTCATATGATGTAACGACCCAGATCCACCGCTAGTAGATATTGTCCTCTTTGGGCTTTCCCTTTCAGGCTTCCCCTCAAGGCTTTAAAACACGTCTGCTAGGGGAAAGTTTCCACACCCTTATGAAGGGTGATTTGTTCTCCTCCCCAACCAATGTGGGACATCACAATCCACCCCCATTCGGGGCCCAGGGTCCTCGCTGGCACTCGTTCCTTTATCCAATCGATGTGGGACCGCCCCCAAATCCACCCCCCTTAGGGGCCCAGCATCCTTACTGGCACACCGCCTCGTGTCTACCTCCCTTCGGAGAACAACGAGAAGGCCGACACATCATTCGGTGACTGGCTCTGATACCATTTGTAACAACCCAGATCCACCGCTAGCAGATATTGTCCTCTTTGGGGCTACCCCTCAAGGCTTTAAAATGTGTCTGCTAGGAGAAGGTTTCCACGAGGGTGATTCATCACATATGAACACCTCTAAAAAGATTTGAATCGACGCTCTAACGTGTTAAATAGATAAGTATTCATGTAAGATTTAAACATACAAAGATTAGAGGAAATATAACATTACCCATTTGAAATATTTACTCAATGTCTTTACTTAAAGTAGAAAGATGAATGGGAATGTAATGAAACAAATTCATGCACATACCAAAGGGAATGCTATGAGTTCCCCATTGCACAAACAACAAAATCCTCTCTCTTTCACCTACAAAGAAAAAGTTAATCAAAGTCAAACCTTTCTAAATATTTGATCCATAAATTTAATGGCATTTTTTGTTCTTCAAAGTCCCCACCATCCACAAATTTAATGGGAGATGAATTCCCTTTGAAATTTGCATCCCCATGGATTAAATTTTCAATATCCGCATCTACGAGCTTCTATTTGTTTGTTTATTACGTACTAGATTCGTTTCGGTTTTCATGAATGTTCGAGTCTTGATTTTAGAAGATAATCAGGCTTGAACTGATACCCTTCGTTATAGACGACGCCCTACCGCTAGTTATATTGTCTCCCTCGCCCTCATCCAAGAACTAATTCTAAGGCAAAGGTTTGAAAATTTGAATGTCGTTATTCGAACACATAATCAACTTTATCCAAACAGTTGTGCTTGTTGGTGTCAACTGATTTTTGCGACCAAGAAGTTACAAAGAAAAAATAGAATTTATAAATAAAAGTAAAATATTAAAATATTGAAATTTTTCGTATACTCAATAGTTAGAGGTGACTTTCTACGAAAGATAGCTAGGCATAAGGTTTATGTCTGGATACAACCATATACAATCTTTCAATAAACATCTGGAACTAAATAGGCGTGTTCCATCAATATCAACCACTTGATATGACTCGGTCCCATCAAATCAACTAGTTGATATGACCTGAGACGTTTGACCGACAATAGACATTTGCTAATCGATGCACTGCAATAGACACGTTAACTCGAAAGTTGAAGATAAGAGGAAAGTAAAAGTAATTATCCGTTCTTAATTTCAATTTAACATATTATATTAGATTATGTTCAAATTGGTCATCGACCTATTTAATTAGTAAAAAAATAGGTACAACGTACATATACAATTTAAAATTTTATTGCACGTTAAAACAATGGTATTTACTTTATCAAAAGTCAAATTTATTCAAAAAAGCATTTAAATGATTATGTTATTTAGTAGCACATTCATACATATCATATACTTAAAAAGTCTATTTCAAACCATTATTTTGAAAAGAATTTGATTTTGTACTTCTTTTATTAAAATATAAAAATAATTTGACATTAAAGATATATTTTAATGCTTCTCATTTTAAAAAATTAATCATTTTAAAAACATATATTATTAGAGTTATCGGTTCAGTTTTTTAGATTCAACCGTATGAACCTAATCCAACCATAATTTTCTTTTTTTGTTAGATTAGTCTGGATCGGATGAATTAATTAACAGTAAAAAAAAATATATACGTCCAAGAATTTTTTTAGAAAAATAGTCAATGCAATTAATATTGAAAAAAATAAAATAATCGAGAATAAAATAATTGGTCGACTATTGAACCATTAATGAAAATATGTACATATATCCATAAAGTTGGGTTGAAATATATTTTCAACCAATAAGATAAAAGCCAAAAAAAACAAAAGTAAAAACAAAAACTACAACTAAAACCAAAACAATTTGGTCGTAAATCGCATTTAAAATGTTATCAATATGAAATTAGGGTTTTGAATTGTCTTTTGGTGTAATTTTGGGACGAAAATTAAGAACATAAAACATAGACAAGAACAAAAATAACAAAACCTCAAATATTGTCGTGACATGAAAATAGTTTTGGCCACCTTTCCGCCGTCTCTATAATAATAATAATATATAAACTTAATTTGAGAAAATATATTTTTCTCTACGTATTTTAATTTACTTATTTTTAATAAAAAGGGTTACTTGTATCATTTAGCCGAAAAAGTATAATAAACTCTGATCCAATCCAACAGAATTTGTATGGTTTGAATTGAGTTATAAATTAAGTTGCTTATTGGGTTAACCGAACCAACCCGAACTTATTGTCAATTATATATATAATTTGAAGCGTTAAAATTAATATTTAATATATTTGATACATTAAATAACAATTAAACAATATATTACATTAAATAAAAATATATATTTAAAATTTGGATGAGATTCAAATGAATTAAATATATATTTCGTAAATATCACTTAGACCAACTTAATTTATTGAGGACAATTCAACCCAACCATTATATTTTTAAGTTGGGCTGGTCAAGCCCTTCGATTTAACCACAAATATTGAGAGAGATCAATGTCGACAAACTAGACAATAATGACAGTGACACCCGTACGGTGAACGATAGAAGTTGGCATATGATGAACGAGAGAAAAATAGAGAGAGTCCGACAAAGATAGGTGATGAGTCCAGTTTCGTGGTTATGGCTCTCACCATAGGAGAAGCGAGAGTGAACGAGAAGGACTTAAGATTTGTAGACATCAATGTCGATGAAGGTCGAACGGTTATAGTGAATCGTAGAAAGAGAAAGAAAAACTTTTTTTTTTTTTTTTTGAATTGTGACTGTACATTATTAATATTATGATAATAAATTAAAATGCAAAAAACATAAAGTAAGTGAGAAAGGAAAAGGAAAACGGCGTGGGTCCAAAGCTATAATAATTATGATCAACACTTGAATGAATTATAATTCTTGAAATTTTAGTGGAAAACAAGATAAACAGGGCATGTCATGCACGTACACGGTTCCTCCTCGGAACCAACTTAATATCAAACAATTAAAAATTGGGACCGACTTAACCGTCCAATCCCTTATATTTGTCCACTAACAGAACCACCAATGGCAGCATTTCCTGCGCTCATGACGTTGTTGGTGACAGAAGGGTGTTCTTTTTTTTTACTGGTCTTTGTTCGGCTTGACTCGTAAATTTAAGAAGAATTTTCTTGCCTATAAATACTATCATAACCCTTTTGATTCCTTCGCTCTGACCCATAAAAGATTTGGTCTTTGAAATCTCTCTTTCTCTCTCTTGTTCTGTTTTTCTCTCTCTACTCGGAATTTTCGTAGTTCTTCCGTTGCAGGCCCTAACAGTGACAAATTTGGTGGTCATATAAGGCCGCGTGAAGAAAGATTCAAACCATATTTCAGTTGAAACTGTGACGGATTTCGATTTCAATCCAAAAAAGACGCCTTTTTTGTTTCCGACAATGTCTGGTTCTGGTTCTGTACTTTCCGACCAGCCAAAGATTCCGACCAATACTACTACTTCGCTTAATGCTCCTCTGATCTCCGAAACAGAGAGATTTCCAAATCTGTGTGTTGTTCTGACAGAGCTCAAATGCATAGCCGACATCGCACTTCCGATGATTCTTGTCGGATTTTTGATATACTCTCGTTCGATGATCTCCATGTTGTTTCTCGGGCGATTGGGTGGTTTGTCCTTGGCTGGTGGTTCGCTTGCGATTGGGTTTGCTAATATTACTGGCTACTCTGTTCTCTCTGGCCTCGCCGTCGGCATGGAGCCCATTTGCGGCCAAGCTTTTGGGGCTAAAAAATTCAAACTTTTGGGCCTTGCCCTTCAAAGAACAGTCGTTCTTCTCCTCTTTTCTTCAGTACCCATTTCGTTTTTGTGGTTTAACATGAAGAAAATCCTCCTCCTTTGCGGCCAAAACGATGATATTGCCAGTGAAGCTCATTCCTACATACTCTGTTCTGTCCCTGATTTAATTGCTCTGTCTTTTCTCCACCCTTTACGGATTTATCTTCGCAGTCAATCAATTAACCTCCCTCTCACATACTGCGCTGGACTAGCCATTATATTTCATATCCCAATCAATTACCTACTCGTCTCTGTTTTCGATTTGGGAATTTACGGCGTCGCTTTGGGAGCTGTGTGGACCAATTTCAACCTTGTCGGATTACTGATTTTATTCATCGTAGTCTCCGGCGTGTACGAGAACACCTGGCCGGGAATGTCGTCGGAGTGTTTGAAGGAATGGAAATCGCTACTTGAATTGGCGATTCCGAGCTGTATTTCGGTGTGTTTAGAATGGTGGTGGTATGAAATCATGATTTTGCTAAGTGGGTTCATGATAAATCCTCAATCAACAGTGGCTTCCATGGGGATTCTGATACAAACCACTGCTTTGATCTACATTTTCCCTTCGTCATTAAGCTTTGGAGTATCAACCAGAGTGGGAAACGAATTGGGTGCAAATCGTCCAAACAAAGCCAAATTAGCCGCCATTGTTGGGCTCTGTACAAGCTTCTTCCTTGGGCTATCAGCTTTGGCGTTCGCTTTCAATGTCCGGAAAGTATGGGCGAAAATGTTCACGAATGACACAGGAATCATCGAATTGACATGTCTGGTTCTCCCAATCATCGGACTCTGCGAGCTGGGGAACTGCCCACAGACGACAAGCTGTGGAGTATTGAGGGGCACCGCGCGGCCAAAATTGGGGGCGAACATAAATTTGGGATGTTTTTACATGGTGGGAATGCCAATTGCTATATGGCTGAGCTTTTACGGCGGGTGGGACTTCAAAGGGCTGTGGATTGGGCTGTTGGCGGCGCAAGTGTCTTGTGCCATAGCGATGCTGATGGCTCTGGTTCGGACCAATTGGGAAGAACAGGCCGAGAGGGCTAAGGAGCTGACTGGAAGTGGGTCGGACGATGATGATGAAAAAACAGAGCTTTTGAATGCGTAGATCTTCTTCTTTTGTTTTTTTAGTAAACAAGTTAGCTTTTTTTGGCCCTTCTTTTGTATAGGATAGAAGAGTACAACATAGATAAGATAAAAAAGGACCAATTTTATTGATAGTGTTATCATTGGTAGCATGATGAATACAAAATTCAGCTACTCTTACGTTTTTTTAGTGAGCGTTATTTGTTTGTTTATTTTGAAAACAAAGTGACGTTATATATTGAATTTGAACGCACGATAATGATCAATAGTGAACATAACAGTGGAATTGTATTGGGTGTTTTACCGTTGTAGAAGATCTTAAACAAGAGGAGGTAAAGATGTTAAAATGTTGGATGTTGTTAAAATGGAAGAGATCGTTGAGGATGAACACTTGAGCGTGCAGGTACTAGATATGTCGAGAAATGAGTATCAAGGTAAACTAAGACAAAAAATGTGTATTGGGTGTTTTACGGTTGTAGAAAATCTTGAACAAGAGGAGGTAAAGATGTTAAAATGTTGGATGTCATTAAAATGAGAGAGATCGTTGAGTATGAACGTCTGGGCGTGCAGGTACTAGATACGTCGAGAAATGAGTATCAAGGTAAACTAACTTGAGCGAGCGACATTTTTCTGATATAGCGTGGATTCTTTTACCAAATATGAGTTTTAGTATTCAAAAACATGCAATAAAAGACGGCTCCTGTTTACGCAAATCAAGAAATGTGTACTTAAGGTGATAAATACGAGAAATTTGATTTGGCCAATTGAGGCAAGAATCTTGAAGGCTTACATATTATTTTCTATGTCAAGTCACACATTTATCGTATCCAAACGTACACGTTATTTGAACGGATATTTTTTAGAGACACAATTTAAAAACTTTAACGTAGCTTTCCAAAAGAATGCGTCTATTAAAACGACCCTTCATTGTATTTAAACGAGCCACACATAATCAACGAGCCATGCCAATAACCCATGCTTCTGTTTTTCTACTTTATTTAATTTCTTTTTTGTATTTTGTAAAGAGCCATGCTTCAGTTATTCTACTTCACTGATTTTTTTGGGTTAATTAAAAAATAAAAGAAACAAAATTATAAAAAAAAAAAATAAATAAAATAATTGAAGCATGGGAACAGTAATGGGCAAAGGCTGAAGCATGCTGCCATTTGGCTTATTATTCCATGTCATAAAAATAAATAAATAAGAATCTTATTCTTCACCGATCATATTTAAAAATTATAATATTTTAAATTGGGGATTCTCTATTTCCCCTAAAAAATCGATACCCATTATGGTCGGAAAATGTAACGACCCAGATCTACCTACCACAGGCATATATTGTCCTCTTTGAGCTTTCTCCTTCTGACTTTCCCTCAATGCTTTAAAACGTATCTGCTAGGAGAAGATTTCCACCCTCTTATAAATAGTGGTTTGATATTCTCCTCAATCAATATGGTACAAAAAATTATTTTAGCTACTTACCAAAACTTTCCTTCAATCTATCCATCAACTAGACAAGTCGTCGAATAAATTAAATGAAAAATAAAAGTCAAAATTTAATCCAAATTTCTTACCTAGTCAAACATTTTGGTTGAAATATTTTTTTAAAAATGGCCGATCTTATCCTCAAATATAAATTTAATAATGTTCATTTATTTCTTTATTTTAAAATTCACCTAAAAATAAAAATAACCGTAGATGAAAAATTAAGTCACTTTATTTAATTTTAGTTGCCACGTAGACCAAAATCCGTATTTATCCATATTAAAAAAAAAACCACGTTTTTAATATGCCTAAAAAGAATTTAAAAAATAATAAATAATAAAAGTTTCTTTTTCTTTTTCCTTTTCCTTTTGTTTTTCATGGAATTTTGACTTCTTCTTCCGTGTCGCGACCTACCAAGCTAAAATCCAACACCGTGGACTCAGCTATCGACATCTATCTACGTGGCAATACATATTTCCACGTGGCAAAGTTTTGTGGTTTCTAATTCCAACATATTTTAAATTCACTTCCCATAATTAAACTAATTTTTTCTGTCGGTCTTTTCAGGTTTTTTTTTTTTTCAAGACCATTTGGAATAGACCAAAAAGAATTTTAATAGTATAGAATTTTTGGTAAGTTTGATTATTTATTAATTTTTTAAAAAAGTTAAATAAATATAAATACATACTTAGTCTAAAAAAATAACTTAAATTTTCAAAAAATTTCGTATTATCTTTGAGCTTTAAAAAAAAAAAAACTCTTATAAAATTTTATTTAAAAGATACTTTTTTAACGATACCAATTTTAACTTTTAAAAATACTTTTTTATTTTCAAAAGTTCCATTAATACCTTTACATTTTAAATTTTTTTTAAGAATTCCTTTAAATTTTCCTCTTACCATTAGTATTGCATTTAAAATTATTCATAAATTTTTTGAATTTTTTTTTTTAAATAGAGGCAGATGAGGTAAATACTACTTTGGGTATTTTTTTTTTATTTTTTAATATAGTACTCATGGTAATAATACTTTTTCACTTTTTAAAAACATCAATTAAAAGGGTATTAATGGAATTTTCTCGAGTTAATAATATTTTTTAAACAAAATACGACTATGAATATTATTTTTTAGATTTTTTTAATATTTTAAATTTAAAGGTATTTTTGAGACAAAATACATGAATATTTTTATTAATTTAGCAGATTATTTTAGTCGGAGTTGGGCATTCAAAAACTCATTAAACAACAAATTAGCTAAAAATTAAAAATTTAAAAGGTTAAATTTTTTACTACTTCAAAGAATTCTAAGCGATGTTTTTCATTTTAAAAGTCAGTAAGTTGGAGAACATATCCATTCATGCATTGAACAAGTCTATTATTTCATCACAATAATAATAATAAAAATAAAACTGTTCACAACAGCCGACATTGATCGCCTAAGAAAATGTCAAATAAAACAGCCGGCAAAATTTTATTCCAAAATTTGTCTTCTATTATTTATTTATTTACTTTTTAGGCGGCTTAAAAATGCACATCTAGATAAAATTGAAGCTCATAAGCTATGGACACTAATTCCCATATGGATTATTAATGCAAGTTTCACGTGAAAATGACGTCGAAAATATTATTTAAGCAATATTTTATTTTTTAAAACATTATTTATTATTAATTTTATTTTTTTAGAGAGGTATAATTCTAGATCTATTAATGATTAGTCACGAGTTTAAATTATTTGCTTATGCATGCATGTTCCCACAATTAATAATTTCAACTAGTGAATAAATAATAATATATTGATTTTGTGATTATAAATTTTAACTTTTGTGTATTTAATATTAATTAATTTTGTCCCGTTGTTATTCCCATCCAAATCATATTTATGGTTAAGTTAGGTTAATAATATTGTTAGTTGTTAATATAATCACATTTTTTTAATTGTTCATTTTATATAATAAAAAGTCGTTATGGTTTGGATATTAATTATTAGGTTGGATGATGAAAGTCCCACGTCTGCTAATTTAGAGAATGATCATGAGTTTATAAACAAAGAATACACTCTCCCTTGATACAAGGCCTTTTGGGGAAGCCAAAAGCAAAGCTACGAGAGCTTATGTTCAAAATGGACAATATCATTCCATTGTGAAGTTTCTTTTCGTGTGTTTTACAAATGTTCATTCACAAAAATTTTATAGTTTTTCTTTTTGTGATGCTCGAATAAGAATGATATCGATACTACGTTTGAATGAGAGTAACTGGTCACAACATCTTGTTGATATTGATTGAGTTGGACGTTGACTGGACAGAGTCGAGCGCCAAGTCTCCCAAGCGCTCTTCCCTTCCATCATTCTTGTGATTTAATGGTTAAGAAATGTTTAAAATAATTGGTAATAACTTTTTTATTCACCTCCTATGATAAAATATTATTCACCAAGGAATATGGTATATTAAGTACATTATTATAATGGTTAAAAAATATAATTACCATTAACTCCGGATAAAAACTACTACTCGTACTTATTTTACTTAAAAAAAAAATACTCCAGTAATAAATTAAAAAATATTTTTTGAATGTTAATATATGAAGAAAAACGGTCTATCAACCCCTCATAGATTAAGTTCAAAATTTTTATTTTAAAAATTAATGAATATTTTTGAAACGTAGTACTAATCATAAAGGTTTCCACATCGACTCTCATAGATTAAGTTCAAAATTTTTATCTTAAAAATTAATGAATATTTTTGAAACGTGGTACTAATCATAAAGGTTTCCACACTGTTGTTAAGAAAGTCGACGAAGAACGTTGAAGTGATAGGTGTAGTAAGGAAGAGGAAGTGATGAATCAGCCTCCTTGTTCTATATGTAAACCAAGGTAAGCATTCTACACCCTATTATGGCCCCCTTTATCTCTTGTCCTATGCACATGGTGAAGAAAGTAATGAGTGTCTCTGTCAGAATGCTTGTGCTTTTTGTGTGATTCATGGCTTCTTCTCTTGTGGTATCCACTTCCATGATTCTGGTAATGCCTACTACCATGCCTATGTGATTGGGTATGTTTTCTTTCACCTCTATGCTTCCATGTTGGCCTTGTGGGATGTCTTTTGGCCCCAAACATACCCTCCCACCACTCATACACAGGGTCAAATAATCCCTTCTGATGTAGGATCCATATTACTACAACAACTGCACAAACAAATTAAAATGTCTCACAAAAGTCGTTCCAAATATGCCTTTAGTTCACCGAAATAGTTACCTGTCGGGAAAATGGCCAAAAAGAGACCGAACAACACCAACCAACTCAAACATAAATACTGTATGTGACAGCTGAAGTCGAAAAATCGAGCGCATTCTTTTCTGTTCAAAAGTGTCAAACATAACAGTTGAGATATATTATTTATATCTTAATATTTTTTCCTAATACCATGCCCTAAACTTAATCGTGCCAATAGATTGGCAAATCCTCGAATATCGAACAAAGGACTCCAAAAATAAAAAGGAGTCAAGCCTCCTTGAAGGCAGTAAAAAATGACTAAGATTCCAAAGGAGTCGAGCCTCGATTAAGGGGAGACGTACTTTGTTCGCGGAGAGGTGTTGGATGAAAGTGTCCCACATTGGATAATTTAGGGAATGGTCATGGGTTTATAATCTAAGAATACACTCTCCATAGGTACGAGAACTTTTGGGGAAGCCCAATACTTAGTTTA